CAGGGTCTTGAACAAGGCTGTTGTACAGTCCTGCAGTTCAGAGGGTTTAATTTCTTCCGGTATGCCGCGCAGGCAGATATTATTGTGCCTGTCGCGATCCTCATGGTCCCCACTATTGCCGAGAGAGACTATAATCTTGCCTCAAAGTATTCATAGGCTTTTGCCAAATTATTGTGAGCCTCAATGATCAACTCAGTTTTATCTGATAGTTGCATGGTGCACTCACCTATGGCTTTGATGTTGGCACGTACATCCCGGGCCAGCTTAGCAAACTCTGCTTGTAAGATGTGCTGTAGTTCTTGTAGCATTCTCTGCAGTGCCATTTCCGAGGCAGGGGCTGCATTTGTTGTGGAGATAGTGGTGCTGTCACTCCTGTCAGAGCAGGCCGTAGGCGATATAGGCCCATCTGTGCCATCTTGGATTCGAGCACGTGGCGGTGTCAATGCTATTTGAAGCACTGCAGGGTGCGGTTTTGTGTTTTTTTTGCCGGTCTGCTGTGACATGGTGGCTTTCCTTAATCCGGGGATGTTTTTCCATGTATGTTGAGGTAACCTATGCTCTGCTTATTGCTGTGTTTCGGGTCACCCTCACAGGAACTGACGGCTCACGCGTACATGTCCACGAGCTGCAAAGCCACGCCTCCCAGATTTTTTGAAGATTTTAAATCCTCAAAATGCTCTAGTACATCCCACTATTAAGGAGATGATTTATGAAGAATGGGGGAAACCCGAGAAGAGGTCTACATTAAAAAATAACTGTAGTAATTCACAAACAGAGGATACCGCACTCACACTTAGGAATCCAGGTGCTTATCAGGGCTGGGATTGGCAAAACCCAGTTTAATAGGTAAAATAAATTAGGTTCAGGCACTCAGGATTACTGCAGGAAGGCAGATTATTGTAAGAAAAACTGCAACGTTCTGGCCTACACAGAGGCTTGATAAAGGCCTCTGTGTAGGCCAAAATGTTGCAATTTTTGTTACAATAAACCTTCTTTCCTACAGCAATCCTGAGTGTTTGGACCTAATTATTTTTATCTACATTTAAAAATAAGACTTAAAAAAAGCTATCCCTTTGCCTCATAGGACTGTAAATCTTGGACACCCATTCCAATAGACTCCATGGCATACTTAAGAGAACCCATGAAGAAAAGAGTGGATTCCAATTTAATCAAGGCCTATTTGTTGCTGGGCTTAGCTCTTCATCCAGTTATTGCTCTCACAGCACTATCCAGAGCAGTTAAACCTCAGAGATTTCAAGATTGCTTCAGAATGCAGCTTGGTAGCCTCCTTGGACATAACCAGGATCATTGCAAAAAGAATGGGCCAATTTGCAGCCACTAGAATGGATCTCTGGCTTCATTCCTGGGGAGCTTACTATGATTCCAAAGCTTTCTTATGTTCCTAGGCTCTTCAGGGAGACCACCTTTTTGGGAACGTTTTAGATTAGGCTATTATAAAAGGCAGCTGACAGCAAAAAAGTGTTTCTGCCTCAAGGAAAATAATCCTTTTATTAGTCATCATGAAAAGACAAAAAGTTTTGAGATTGATCCTTTCGAGAAAGCAGATTCTACCATCTTGGAACAAAATACTCTAGGAAACCATCCTGGAGAAATTTTCAGTCGTCTTCCTCCAATACCAAAAGCAATAGAGAAAGGGGATCCCTCACTACTACTAAAAGTTTCTACAGCTGTGCTGGCCCAGCCAGAATGCATAGGTGGAAGACTCCAACACTTCCACTCATTCTGGGTCAAAAATATTTTAGATTCTTGGGTCCTGTCTATTATAGAGCAAGGTTACAGGATAGAATTCAAGACTTTTCCAAAGATCAATGTTTTCAAGGGGTCTTCTGTTCCTCTAGGAAAAAAAGGACAAGCCAGGTCAGAAAACATTTTCAAGCTTCTTCAACTGGGAGTAATATTTCCTTATCCAGAAATATTCAGAGGTCTATACTCCAATATATTTCTGACCCCAAAATCCAATGGGAGTTGGAGACTCATAATAGATCTAAAGGGTCTAAAAACTTATCTGAAGGAGCTGTCTTTCAAGATGTAATCTATCTCCACTATTATTCCTTTCATAAATCAAGGAGATTGGGTAACTTCGATAGACTTAAAGGACGCTTATTACCAGATTCCCATGCACAATCAACACTTCAAGTCCCTTCGCTTTTTTATCTTTACAATACATTTCCAGTTCAAAGGCCTTCCATTTGGCCTAAGCCTGGCTCCCAGAAGCTTTTAAAAAATCTTCATCCTCCTCCTTTCTTAGGAACAAAGACAATACAGTATTTCACTACCTGGATGTTATTCTGATCATTCAATAAACATTAAATAAAGCCATGTCCCACACCAATCAAGCATTGTCATGTCTTAAGGAACATGGTTGGATAATCAACAAAGAGAAAAGCTCAATAACTCCCTTATAACAAACAGTGTTATTGGGGACTTTAATAGACATAAAAGCTTAGAAAATTAATCTATCTCCTGCAGGGCCGAACTGGGAAAAAAATTCGGCCCGGGCATTTTTAATTACAGCGGCCCACTGAAAAGGGGGTGGGGCCAGATAGGGTGTGTTTTGTCATCCCCAATGACAAGCACGCCCCATCTCAAAGTGAGCATGTTGGTTCAATGCTCTTCCAGGGCATGAGAAAAGGGCCCTGTATTTGATCTGCACAGCGCAAGCAAATTTAATAACATGCTTGCATTGTGTTTGCTTGAAACTTGTCTCAAGGGTTTCCATAATTGGAATACTCACTGTATCCCATTTATGGAGACACTAGGTGTTCATAGGAGATCCTGAGTGTGTATGCCAGAAATGTAGTGTGTGTGTAAGTGGTGCAGCGTCTGTGTGTAGGGGATCTAGTGTGTGTTTGAAGGACTCAGGAGTGCGTATAGGAGATCTAGTGAGTGTGTGTGAGTGGTGCAGTGTGTTTGGGGGGTGCAGTGTGTGTGAGGGGTGTAGTGTGCATTTGTGAGGAGTATAGTGTGTGTGGGAGGGTGCAGTGTGTGAGGGTGCAGTATGTGTGTGTGAGGGCGCTGTGTGTGAGGGCACTGTGCGAGGGTTCTGTGTATTTGAGGGTGCTGTGTGAGTGAGGGTGCTGTGTGAGTGAGGGTGGTGTGTGTTGGGGTGCTGTGTGTGTGTTGGGGTGCTGTATGTGTTAGGGTGCTGTGTGTGTGTTAGGGTGATGTGTCAATGTTAGGGTGCTGGTGTTGGGGTGCTGTGTGAGTGTTAGGGTGCTGTGTGAGTGTTACGGTGCTGTGTGTGTGTTAGGGTGCTGTGTCAATGTTAGGGTGCTGGTGTTAGGGTGCTGTATGTGTGTTGGGGTGCTGTGTGAGTGCTTCGGTGCTGTGTGTGTGTTGGGTGCTGTGTCAATGTTAGGGTTCTGGTGTTGGGGTGCTGTGTGTGTGTGTTAGGGTGCTGTGTCAATGTTAGGGTGCTGGTGTTGGGGTGCTGTGTGTGTGTTAGGGTGCTGTGTCAATGTTAGGGTGCTGGTGTTGGGGTGCTGTGTGTGTGTTAGGGTGCTAGGTCAGTGCCACCACCGTGCTGGCTGTGTGTTAGGGTGCTGTGTGTGTGTTAGGGTGCTGTGTATGTGTTAGGGTGATGTGTGTGTGCTGGGTTGCTGTATGTGTTGGGGTGCTGTGTGTGTGTTAGGGTGCTGTGTCAATGTTAGGGTGCTGGTGTTAGGGTGCTGTATGTGTGTTAGGGTGCTGTGTGAGTGCTACGGTGCTGTGTGTGTGTTAGGGTGCTGTGTGTGTGTTAGGGTGCTGTGTCAATGTTAGGGTGCTGGTGTTAGGGTGCTGTGTGTGTTAGGGTGCTGAGTCAGTGCCACCGTGCTGTGTGTGTGTTAGGGTGATGTGTCAATGTTAGGGTGCTGGTGTTAGGGTGCTGTGTGTGTGTTAGGGTGCTGTGTCAATGTTAGGGTGCTGGTGTTTGGGTGCTGTGTATGTTTGGGTGCTGTGTGTGTTAGGGTGCTGTGTGAGTGCTATGGTGCTGTGTGTGTGTTAGGGTGCTGTGTGTGTGTTAGGGTGATGTGTCAATGTTAGGGTGCTGGTGTTAGGGTGCTGTGTGTGTGTTAGGGTGCTGTCAATGTTAGGGTGCTGATGTTAGGGTGCTGTGTGAGTGTTAGGGTGCTGTGTGTGTGTTGGGGTGCTGTGTATGTGTTAGGGTGATGTGTGTGTGTGCTAGGTTGCTGTATGTGTTAGGGTGCTGTGTGTGTGTGTTAGGGTGATGTGTCAATGTTAGGGTGATGTGTCAATGTTAGGGTGATGTGTCAATGTTAGGGTGCTGGTGTTGGGGTGCTGTGTGAGTGTTAGGGTGCTGTGTGAGTGTTAGGGTGCTGTGTGAGTGTTACGATGATGTGTGTGTGTGTTAGGGTGCTGTGTGTGTGTTAGGGTGCTGTGTCAATGTTAGGGTGCTAGTGTTAGGGTGCTGTGTGTGTGTTAGGGTGCTGTGTGAGTGCTACGGTGCTGTGTGTGTGTTAGGGTGATGTGTCAATGTTAGGATGCTGGTGTTAGGGTGATGTGTCAATGTTAGGGTGCTGATGTTAGGGTGCTGTGTGTGTGTTAGGGTGCTGTGTGAGTGCTACGGTGCTGTGTGTGTGTTAGGGTGATGTGTCAATGTTAGGGTGCTGGTGTTGGGGTGCTGTGTGTGTTAGGGTGCTGAGTCAGTGCCACGTGCTGTGTGTGGTGGGGTGCTGTGTGTGTTGGGGTGATGTGTGTCAGTGTTGGGGTGCTGGTGTTAGGGGTGCTGTGTGTGTGTTGGGGTGCTGTGTCCAATGTTAGGGTGCTGGTGTTAGGGTGCTGTGTGAGTGTTAGGGTGCTGTGTGAGTGCTACGTTGCTGTGTGTGTGTTAGGGTTCTGTGTGTGTGTTAGGGTGCTGTGTGAGTGCTACGGTGCTGTGTGTGTGTTAGGGTGATGTGTCAATGTTAGGGTGCTGGTGTTAGGGTGCTGTGTGTGTGTTAGGGTGCTGTCAATGTTAGGGTGCTGATGTTAGGGTGCTGTGTGAGTGTTAGGGTGCTGTGTGTGTGTTGGGGTGCTGTGTATGTGTTAGGGTGATGTGTGTGTGTGTGTGCTAGGTTGCTGTATGTGTTAGGGTGCTGTGTGTGTGTGTTAGGGTGATGTGTCAATGTTAGGGTGATGTGTCAATGTTAGGGTGCTGGTGTTGGGGTGCTGTGTGAGTGTTAGGGTGCTGTGTGAGTGTTAGGGTGCTGTGTGAGTGTTACGATGATGTGTGTGTGTGTGTTAGGGTGCTGTGTGAGTGCTACGGTGCTGTGTGTGTGTTAGGGTCATGTGTCAATGTTAGGGTGCTGGTGTTAGGGTGCTGTGTGAGTGCTTTCTGGTGTGTGTGTGTGTTAGGGTGCTGTGTCAATGTTAGGGTTCTGGTGTTAGGATGCTGTGTGAGTGTTAGGGTGCTGTGTGTGTGTTAGGGTGCTGTGTCAATGTTAGGGTGCTGGTGTTAGGGTGCTGTGTGTGTGTTAGGGTGCTGTGTCAGTGCCACCGTGCTGTGTGTGTGTTAGGGTGCTGTATGTGTGTTAGGGTGATGTGTCAATGTTAGGGTGCTGTGTGAGTGCTACG